AGCAGCTTGATGAAAAGAATCATCATCACTCTTCTTCTAGTAGAAGACAGGTGGCTGCAAACACAAATACAGGCCAGGCTAGAATCCTTGGTCTGGGAAGGAGGCTGATAGAATATCTTACGTTGCTTTTCTGTGTCCAGTCTCCCTTGCTGAGAACACTCAGCAAATTGGCTATAAAATTGTGCATTTATCTTCAGCTATTAAAAAAAAAAAAAACCTGTGACCCAACTCTTTTATCTTTGCTTGCTTGCTTGCTTGTTTGTTTGAGTGCCTGTATTGAGGTCTCATGTCGCACAGGCTGGAGAGGCACAATCATGGTTCACCATAGTCTTGACCTCCTAGGCTCGAGCAATCCTTCCCCCTCAGTCTCCTGAGTAGCTGGGACTATGCCCACTAATTTTTTTTAATAGTGCTGACATCTTACTATGTTGGCCAGGCTGGTCTCGAACTTTGGGGCTCAAATAATCCTCCTGCCTCAGCCCCCCAAAGTGCCAGGATTACAGGTGTGAGCCACTGCACCTGGCCCAATCCAAATCTTTTCAAAGAAGGGAGGCTAAGAAGGTTCTCCGGCATCCTAATTCAAGAGCGTTCAATCTCACTCTGAATTTCAGTTATGGAATAGAAAAGGAGCTCTCAAGTCTGAATCAGAAGGCATAAGTTCTAGGGGCACCCACTTTGGCTAGTTAAGTTATCTATCGTCCTAAATTCCCCCTCTGGAATATAAGATTAGATCACAAAAGATCTGAGCTCCCTATCATTCTAATAATCAATAGTTTCATGCCACACTGCCCCTCCTTCCCTCTAAGAAACAAAAGGCATATCACTGTAAATCACCCTTAAGATACTTTATCTGAAGCCAGAAAGAGACCTTTTTCCAGAATCCTGGCTATAAAGAACACTTACTTACTTGTAAGATGGGCCACTGAAATACACGGTCCTTCTTCTAGGATGTCATCTAGATGGAGAACCAGGAGAATCTACTGAAGCTTGAACATTGTCTAGCTGATATGCCAATCCCAGTGCCAATGAGTCACAGGGCAGAGTATAGAGCACATGGAAGTACTGATGGCCCCAAATCCTTTACCTGACTGTGGCAACTACCTCCAACTCCCTCTCACTCTGTCTTTATGTATGTGAGTATATATATGTCTGTGGTACTGGCATACACACTAATTAGTTCATTTTCTTCTTCTTGCTTCCTCATTACTGCTAATGAGCAAAAAAAAAAAAAAGGATTAAAAAGATAAAGAGCCAAAAAGGAAGGGCAAAAGAGAAGTCAAAAGCTGGCTTCCTGCTTAATTGGATCATCAGGTTCAAGAAAGAGTTGCCAATCTTCATATGTCTCATTTACGTCAATCTGAACTCAACCAAGGGGTTGCAAAGCAAAAACCCTAAAGGCTAGAGTAGTCCAGTAGGGGACCCCAACCATCTAAAAGAATCAGATCTAAACTAATTGCAATGACACATGCAAATGGAGATATCCCAAGCTTTTGCAGCACCATTTTAGAAAAAGAGCACAAAGATTCACCAGTGACTGAAATCACTTGTTAAGAGACAACCCATCAAAGAAGTTTCAAGATCAGGGAAAGTTACTTGAACATCTTCAAAGGCAGGAGTTGCAATCTTAGTATCAGACAAAACAATCTTTAAGCTATCAAAAAATAAAAAAGATACCAAAAAAATCTTCAATTAGTCAGTTAACTAAGGCTTGACATTTATTTGGAAAGTGTTGGCTGCTAATGTAACAGATATAATAGCACATCTGCCACGAGAGTAGGAGAAAGGGAGAGAGAAGACAGGAGGGAGAGCAGGAGAAAGGGAGAGAGAAGATGGGGGGGACATGGAAGTGGGGAGGGAGAAGGAATGGGGGAGGGAGAAAGAAGAAAATCAGGGTAGGGGAGAGAAATGATATTTTCTGATTAGGGTAGCACAGGCACCATGGGTCAAATTGTGCCCCTGCTCCCCAAATTTGTATATTGAAGCCTCAACCCATGGTACTTCAGAACTTAGTACGGTATTTGAAGACAGGGCTTTCCAAGAGGAGATTAAGTTAAAAGAAGACCATTAGAGTGGCCTAATCCAATCTACTGGGTGTCCTTATTAAGAAGAGGATATTTGGCTACACAAATAGGGATGGATGTGTGTACAGAGAGATGACCATGTGAAGAGGCAGCAAGAGGGTGGCCATCCACAAGCCAAGGAGAAGGCGTTAGGGGAAACCAACCTGCTGGGACCTTGATCTTGGAATCACAATAGCACTTTTCCTCATATGTTTATTGTAAGGATTAAATAAATTAATTCATGTAAAGCACTTAGAAGAATACCTGGCACATAATAAGCACTCAAGAATCAGCAGATGCTTTGCTGCTGCTGTTATTGATAAAGGGTTAAAAAAACATCAGCAGGCCTAGTAAATATATACCTTTGGGGTAACAATATTGGCTGAATGAACACTTCACCACCAGTTTTCCAATTGGCCTCAGATATGTGACTGAGCCCTTTGGGACCTTTATTCTCATGCTTGTACAGTGGGAATCATAACTTCTGTTTATGCTTAATGGCTCTGCAAGAAGAAGACTATTTGGTTTTCACTGGCTCCTGCTAGGAAGAGAGCTGAAGGTGGCCTATCTAGCAAAACCATAACCACCTCAAATGATGGCAGAAACTGGTCAGAGTTGTGTACTGGAAACAGAAAACACTCCAACTCAGGATCACTAACTCCATTAGCCCAGGGAGAGATTTCCTGATGTGCCTCCCTTTCCTAGGATCTAATATAGCTGCTGAAAATTGAGAAAGTAGCTCTCTATCTGTCTGACCTTTCAATCTCCTGAGAAAAGAGGAACAAGGGAAGCAGACAAATGGAATAAGATAGCACTGGATCTACTTTTCTGCCCTAGCAGATTACCTCCACAGGCAGGAAACAATTTCTGCTCCAACACTGTTCCACGTCCCTGAGCCAGTAAGGACCAATGCTGTGGTGTGGAAAATTAGCTCCCTCTCCACCCTTTATTAAGTGCAAGTTTTTCGATTTGGTTTGTTTGTACCAATCTTTGGTATTATCCCCTCTAACTCTGAGACCAAGGTAGGAGTTCTGATTCTAAAGTTCACCAGGTGAAGCCAGGCAAGTCCTAGATTGTGGGGGACATAGAAGGGACAGCAATAGTATCCATGTTAGCAGCCTGTGGTGCTGACCCCAGCTCACAGGGGAACGTTGAACAAAATGCACCCTGCCTATTAAGACAAAGACAGTGCCACCTCCCCTCCCCAACCTGGAGGGTGCCCCTTATCAGGAGCTTAAATGCCTTAACTATAAGGTGTCCTGGGTACCTTGGAGGAAAAGGTCTAGTCCATACAAGCTACCTAGGGAGTCCTGTTAAAATACAGATTCTGCTGCAGTAGGTCAGGGGAGGGGGCTGAAATTCTGCATGTTTAACAAGCAGCACTGTATGATGCTGGTCCTTGAGCCACACTTGGAGTTTACACATTGGGAGTAACTTTGAGTTATGAGTACCTAGGGTACTGAATCGCCGAGAGTGGTCTGAGGACCCCTACTTCAACATCACTTGGGGGCTTGTTCCAAATGTCCATTTACTGCCATTACCCCAGACCCTCTCAACCAGACTTTCTGGGGATGGAGCCTGGCAGACCCCATTTTTAACAAGCCCCTCAGGTGACTGCTATGAACACAAAGTTTCAGAACCAGTGCATGAGATCAGTGGTTCTTAACTCCTGCTCCATGTTAGAATCACCTAGAAAATTTATAAAACATGCCCAAGCTCCATCAGAGATTATGAACACAGATTTTCCAAGGCTGGGGCAGGGCATTAGTGTTTTTCCTTTGTTTGGACACCAGTATGTTTGATTTTAATTTAATTTTTAATTGACAAATAATTCTATATATTTATCTGGTGCAAGGTTATATTTTGATATATTTTTACATTGTGAAATGATTAAATCAAGCTAATTAGGTGACCTTGAAACATAGTGAGGGTTCAAAATCACTGCTTTAAATGCATGCTTCCTCTTTTAATTTCTAATGATGTATAATACACATCAAGAAAAGTATAACTATCATAAAGGTACACATGAATATTTGTGTGGAGATGACATGAATATATGTAGGGAGGGAGCAAAGCATAGCTGCAGTTTTCAGATCAAAAGGCCTAGGCTGCATTCCTTAACTCTGTCACTTAGAATGTATGTGACTCCCTGAATGTCAGTTTCTTCCTCTATAAAAGAAGAGACCATAATAAGTGCCCTATCTACCTCACACAGTTATGTAAAAAGATCTTGTGAACTATAAAATGCTATCCAAAGAAAAAGGATTATCATTTCCAGATTTAAACTATAACCTTATTGTTTATGGCAAATTTAAGTCATGACAATAGAAAGTAGTAGCACAGGTGACTTCTTTCTCTGAGTTTTCTAATGTAGTCTGCTAATCTCTACTCAGTCCCACATGTGGGAGTCTGAGGACAGGACCCTGCTACCCTAGCCTTGTAGGTCGTGCTCTATAAGCCGGTTTATCACCTGGACCCCGGCCACAGTGGAATTCTCCCCGCTATCCACTGGGGGTTGTGTGGCCCAGATTGCTCTGTGGACTTGGGCAAATGGGGAAGGAATCTCATCCCCACCCAAGTGGGCTGTTAGAGAAGTGGACAGACTAGGAGGCTCCCCAGCAGATTATTCTAGGACTAAGTGGCTACTGTGGCTAAGTCTACATGAGAGCCCCTTAGAATACCTGGAAGCTCCTTTCTTTTCACTACACCTCTCCAAGAGTTTCTGCAGGCTTTTTTTGGTCTGTCCTAGCTCTGACTGAAACCTTTATTGCAGCCCCAGAGTTCCACAAAGCATCCCCACACCCTTCAAGCTCCACTGCATCCAAACAGGACTGTGTCAGGCCTCAACATTAACTACATATATATTTTTTAAATCACATGGCCATATGGGCAAATACTGCTTAGTGTGTTACTGGTACATTCCCAGAAGAGGCTACTTACCAGCCGAGTATTTACCACAGGAAACAGCAATGCCAGAAGAGCTCCATTCAACATGTGCATTTGTAGCCTAGAGGAGGAAAAAGATACATTCAGATCATACTCAGACACTGATGCAAAAGTAAAAATAAAAACGTCAAGTTAAGTCACACCATATGGGAGAGAACTATGTGTGCAAGTGTCTCTCTGTGGAAAATGGCACTAGAGTTTGCGCACATACACAAAATAAATTAAAAGCAGTATATTTTGTATTAACTGCAATGTTCTAAAGAACACCACCAATGGCTCAGAATCCCCTGAATGCTTCCTGAACACTTTGGTTACAACACATTATTATATAACAAGCTCTGTGCTCCCTAAATATTCAGTCAGTCCCAATCAATGGCTTCAACTGTAGCTTCGGCGGCATTAAAAAAGGGGAACTGCGGGAGCTAAGTGCTCTGTTATTACAGCAGAAACCTATTTATTACAATATGGTCGCTCATTTACACAGTCACGTCCAATCCTTCCCCCGCAAACAGATCTAGACAGAAAAGGCTCGTATAACCAGGAAGCCAACTGCAGTGTTTCACAAATTATGTTTCCCCACTTTCTTAGAGATGCCTCCAGGAGCAAAAGTGGAAGCCTTCCAGGCTTTCTTTGATCTATTTTACATATTGGGCTCTGGGCTCTGTGGTTTAAAAGAAGAAAACCATTGGTCTTCAGCACCGGGTAGTGATACCGTGTCCCAATCAATCCCGATGCCAGACTTGTTAAAATGCATACATACTAGAAACCTTTTTTAAAGTCAAGAACAATTAACTCAGGAACAAACCCTGCCTGTGAGGGCTCTGCAGATGGATTTAAGTAGCTTCCTTCATTACTCAAGGCAAACGGTTCTTTGCTACTAATGGAGAAGCAAAGAATGGCAGTCTGTTCCTCTTGAAGAAAAACTGACTTGATGGATCACAAACAACCATTACCAAGTCAATGTGCCTCTTAGACCTCAAGCCTCAGTCTCAGTCAGTCTCTCTCTCTCACACACACACACACACACACACACACACACACACACACACACACACACACACACACATACACAGAGAGAGAGAGAGAGAGAGAGAGAGAGAGACAGAGAGAGAGAGAGACAGAGAGAAAGAAAGACAGACAGAGACACAGAGAGAGAGAGAGAACAGCCCTATGATACCAGGATATCGCCTATGCCCTAATTGGGAAAAGTTCACACACTAAAGACCCCCTAGAACTTTAGCAATTCTCTTGGAGCTCACAGATCTGCAAGACTAAGAGACATTACAAGAAGACTCCAGAAAACAACACAGAAGCCCTGCAGGCTTCTTTTCGATTCCCCTAGTTTGTTTTTTTCTGCTGTTCTTTGTCATCAAAGCCTCGATGATTGTGATTATGTACACTTAATATATTCTAGGCATCCTGAATCAAGGACCAGAGAGAAAAACACATTCCAGGCAAGTACCTGATTAACTGCTTTACATTAACTCTCTTGCTTAATTTTTTTAGTTGTACAGATTTCTTTTTTATTTTATTTTAGATTCATGGGTTACACGTGAAGACTTGCTACGTAAGTAAATTGCGTGTAGGTGAGATTTGGGCTTCTAACAACCCCTCTTCTCCCCCTGGTAGTGGACATGGTACCCAGTGGGCTGTTGTGTGCCCTCATCCCCTCTCCCTCCTTCCCTCCTTTAGTAATGGTGAGCATTCATTGTTACCATCTTTGTTCTTGCTTAATTTTTATAGTAATCTTCTGAGGTAGGTACAGTGACTTTTTCCCATTTTGTTGGTGAAGAAGTAAGGCCATCTGGCTTATGCCACATATAAGACAGAGCTAGGATTCAAATCCAGGTTTATCTGACACCAGACCCCAACCTCTTATACCACTCTCACTGCCTTATATCAGAGCCCCCTCCCTTCCTCCCACCAAAGTATGACCTCAGGTGGAGAGTTAGAGATGCTCCTCTTCCCTTCTTTTTGTTTTAGGGGTCTCTCTACTTTCTCCTTTATTCTCTGCCCCAGGCTTAATATAATTTCAGGGGCTCACTAAAATTAAGAAGGTTGTTTGGTCACACCAGGCCTTCATAGTCCTACAGGTTAATAGGACTTCGCTTGGCCTATGGGAGAAGGCATATCAATGCAACATCACCCCTGCATCCCAGGGCTGGCCAGGCCACCATGACCCTTTTTCAGCAGGGTCATTCAAGGGGGCACCCCATCCTCTGAGACTCAGAGTATGAAAACTCTGGCTCACCTCAGTGACTAAAGCAAGAACCATTAACAGCTATTCCAGGACTGAAGTGAAGTAGTGTCTGGTTAACCCTGCTGCTGGGCCCTCCAGTGAGAGAGCCACACCATAAAGACTCACCCCAAATGAGGGAAATCACATCGACAATCCAGGTAAAGTGGGATTCCGGTGCCAAGCTTTGCCATGGACCTCAAAGGAATGTTGGCACTAGCACAAAGCCAATTAGACATTTGGCACCAAAAGTTAAATCTTGAGGATGATAAAATTGATTCCAAGGGCCCATGGAAAGTCAAAAATAAAGAAGATAAAACTAACACTGGGATTAAAAACAACTAATAAGTTCCTAGATTAAAAACAAGTCTTGTTCTGAGTTCTTGGAACTCAGCTATGCAAGCTACATATATGACAAAGGGTGAATGAATTATCTTTAATATATAAAGAAGTCTTGCATATTAATAATTACAACAATTTCTAATGTATGTTGAGCATTTCTATGTGCAAATCACTGGGTTAAGAATTCAAATACATAACTTCATTCAATCATCACAGTCTTTACTACAATCGTCATTATCTTTTTCATTTCATAATTGAGAAAACCAAAGTTCCAGGTGATTAATTGTCCAAAATCACACAGATAAAGCAGAAACAGAAGTCATACCCAGGTCTTGCAAGTTTCAAGTCTGTGTTTTTGACATTGTACTCTGCTTCCAATCTACAGCATGAACATTACACATGTTCTGTGTGTGTGCGTGCGTGTGCGTGTGTGTGCGTGTGTGTACATGTGTGTGTGCATCAAACTGCAGGCTAGGCAAGAAAAAGTTCTGAGATGCCCATGGGGGCAAGAAAGTTCAGGCCCAAGGGCAATAAAACCCCTTGTGTGTTTTGGGGCAAAACTGCCGGATCAAACAAATGCACTGCCCTCTACAGACACAGAGCACAATCCTACAGGTGTGTGTATATATATATATATGACTCACCAAATCAGACGCAAAGGCTTTTGCTTTTACTTTATAACTGCCTCCAGCCTGCCATCAAAATTTCTGTCGAATATAGGTAATAGATGCTAGGCCACTAGAAAGTCCTGTGAGAGAGTTCCCTCATCTGTACAATGGGAACCACAATAGTATCCAGCTCATAGGACTGTTATGAGGAATTATATTTATAAATGCTTAGAAAAGTATATGGCATACAGTAAGACTCATCTAAGTGTTTGTTAAATAAACGGTGAAGAACTCAGCTAAAGCCTCAAGATGGGTAGACAGAAGTAAGGAAGGAGGGAAGGGAAGAAGAGAGGGAGAAAAGGAATTAAAAAAAAAAAGAAAACCATGTGACAGAGCCAAACTGTTAAAAAATTCAAAGATAAGAAACAGGTACAGAGAAAGCAAAGGATAGACTGAAGGCCAGGCGAAAGAGTAGAGCTTGGAGGCTGACTTGTTGGATTACTTATGCTTATAAACCTCCTTCTTGCCAGCTCAGAGTCTTGGTCATTATATCGTACATACAGTTGACCCTTAAACAATGCAGGGGTTAGGACTGCTGACCGCTCCCTAGAAAATTCACTTACAATTTTTAACTCTCCCAAACCTTTACTAATAGCCTACTGGTGACCAAAGTCTTACCAATAATATAAACAGTCAATTAGCACATATTCTGTATGTTATATGTATTATATGCTGCATTCTTACAATAAAGTAAACTAGAGAAGAGAATATATTATGAAGAAAATTATAAGGAAGAGAATATGCATTTACAGTACTGCACTACATGCATGGATACCATAAGTTTGTGTCATCTGTTTACAAGGTGAATGATCTGTCTGAAAGGACAGCACGTGCCATGGCAGAACTCAGTCTATAGCGCATATAAAGCAATTCAATTTTTTCTTTGCTTCTTGGGAGCACTTCCAGTATCACTAGTGGCACTTCATGTGGGTCCCCTGGTGTTACTCAAGGCTTACAGTATAGCACTAAACACAATGACAAATACTCAAGAACCACGAGGATCACTTTTTAACTGCAATCCCTGATTTACTGGAAGACGAACTGCTCACACAGAGATCATGCATGTCTCACAGTGCCTTAAAGGACACTCGCAACACCTAAGCTCACCGCAACAGCAAAGGGAGGTAGCTGCAAAATTATTACAGCAGTACAGTATGAAACATGACTAATTTTATGCAATTAGAATATAATACTACACTTAACGTTTTTTACATTATTCTTGGCTGTATCACGTGCATAAATTTTGACAAGTTTTAACTTTTTATAACAAATTTATGTATTTTTATGGTAGCAAATAATACACACACACACACACACACAAACACACACATATATTTCACTCATGACATACCTAAGTTTTTCTTTTCTTTCCTTTTTTTTTTTTTTTTAAGTTGGAATCTCACTCTGTCACTTGGGCTGGAGGAGGGCAGTGGCATGCTCACGGCCACAGTAGTCTCGACCTGCTGGGCTCAGGTGATCCTTCCACCTCAGCCTTCCAAGTAGCTGGAGCTACAGGCACACACCACCATGGCCAGCTAATTTTTTGATTTATTGTAGAGATGAGGTCTCCCCAAGCTGCCCAGGCTGGCCTCAAACCCATGGGCTCAGGTTATCCTCTCACCTTGGCCTCCCAAAGTGCTGGGATTACAGGCGTGAGCCACCATGCCCAGCCTATTTTTTTTTTTTTAATATTTCTAGGCTACAAGCCTTGCCTGCAAGTTTTTTTAAATTGTCAAAAATCTCAAAAAAATTTTTCCAATATATTTATTGAAAAAAATCTGAACATAGGTAGACCTGTACAATTCAAACCCATGT